CAGAGCCTTCATACACTCAAAATCCCTGGAATGCAGTCGCGGTTGCTGTGCTTTTAGTGGGATATTTTCATTTTGACACAATTGTGGTCATGTCTCTGTCCAACACAGAACAAGATGACAGTTGTCTCAAAGTGAAATATCCTACGAGTAACCCATTCTATGCCATGTTCAAATGCCACGCCTACTCCGTCTCAGGGATAAGGGGGTAGCTAAGTGGATATTCCTACCAAACTTTGAATGTAAGGAAGCTGAAGGACGTTTAGTGTCTGTGCCCTCTTTCGTGGTGCTTTGGAAAAGAAGACAGGGCAGTCTTTTCGGTGTTTCATGTGAAACTTCCGATTCCAGCGTAAACCGTCTAAATTCCACGAGGCTACGAAGCCGGTGATCAGTAAATGCATGAAAGACTATGTTGAGACTATGACAACTCCAGTGGTCTACGTCGGAATATTCCTCATCTACCTAGCCTATCTAGCGATGAGCATCTACGTGAGTCTGAATATTTATTTGTTTACTTATTTCTCTTGCTGCACTACACAGTCGTTATCACTGAGGTCAGTCGGGGCGTGCCAGCGCTGCGTAAGTTTGACGCGACGCCAGCCTTTTTCTATTGCCTGTTGTGGCTTCGGGCGTTCAATGAAAGGTGGGAAAGCGGCTGGCGCGCGCCTAAATCTCCGCTCTGCTGGCACTGACACTCCCCCTCCCCCACTGACTTCAGCCCAATCTTTGAACTGTCTGAAGGATCAACGGTAGAAGTAGAAAAACGCTTGTGTAATTGTGCGCCTATTTTTCATTAGTATTTTCAGGGAATTACTAGGATCAATATTAGACTGACTGCAACAAAACTCTTCGCCACCGACTCGCCCCTGCTGGAGGTAATTTTTGGATTTCTCTTCTACTAACTGTCGTCGGCCGCTCGAAGAAGGAACTTTGGTTCTCAGCGTAGTTGAGGAGATGTAGTGAAGCCGAGTCCCGTACGTCTTCTGATGATCTGCGTCCTCTCACCGAGATAGTGCGAGCCTAGTGATTCCTCTAACGGATGTAGCAGGGCTGAAAAACATGAATGTATTAGTTGTATTAGTTTGCAGTTGAACGTGAAGAAAAGTACAAGATAACGTCTGAAACCCCTTAACTAGACTGTCGTTGTCCCAAGCAAAAGGCAAAAACTCATTGGTATTCCGAGCAAAAGAGCGGCCAGAGAGCATGTCAACGACCGAAGCAGCAGATACTAGGTGGGCGGAGTCATCCGAGCTCAGCAGGAACTCTAGGAACCTCACGCGTTGACCACCCCCCCCCTACCTTACAATTTTCTGACACGAACTGGTAAAAGGCTACCAATTGCGTATACACTTCTTCACCTCGCGCTAAGCTTTGATTCTTATAAGCCTCACGAAATATATCTTTAACCTTACTGAACGCACTCGATTATACAATGAATGCAGATATTGCCCAAGTCTCTCTCGTTCCCCCCTTCCGCCCCCCTTCGCATCTCACGACAGTACCGCTACACTTATGACTTTTTTGCTTCAAATATGCTGCGACTGAAACGGAATGAGTGGGGGCACTGCGGCAGCGCACACTATTGTTCTTTGCACGCTCCTAATTTTCAGGAGTCAAGCCTGACGGTCTCACAGAAAGGTTCAACAGAACCGTTCTGCTCAGTCAGGACGCAGGCGACCAAGGGTCAGAGCCTTCCTGGATCCCCAGAACATGCATGGTCGCGTTGACGCACGCTTCCCTGCCCCCTCGACCCGAACAATCCTTTTTCCCCCCCCTACCGCCGCTTAGGTTGATGAGTCTTCTTCTGATGGCAGTGCAAAACCTTTAGTTTGACTGGTTTTATCCTTTTTAATTTGGTGATGAAATCATTTTAATCCACATTTTTTCGCAAAAAAAATAGCGATCGCGTTAAGCTTGAACGGCAATCTCGTATCACATATCAAGTACCCGTCTACTCGATGGCCACCGTATTCGTCAAGAATCCCGGCAATCTGTCGGAGCCGGAGCGATTACATCGGATTAATGAGTAAGTGGTCATTTTGGTAACTGTACAAGTCGTCATTTTGGTTACTGTAAAGTGGGGGACGGGCAAAAGGATCGCCATTTGCCGCTCCGCCGCGCGTGGTGATGGCTGTTTTTCGACTCGTGATAACCTGTTATTTGCACCACCGGACTTCAAAGTAGACCCCGTCATCGTAGACATTCATACGCTTCTAAATTGTCTGTCGTCACCATCTACTACCTGGAACCATCGTCTTTTGCGGTGCGATGTCGCATGCGACGCCCACCAACGCGGGTGAATTACGATTCTCCTGTCACATACTCCTATGCAGTAGGGTTTCTCCATTATTCCGCTTTGCTGTGACGTATGAGGTTCGCGGTACACTTGCGACCCAAGGCAAGGCTGCTTGAACTAAGTTTGTTGTCCCCCCACCTCCCGTGTTTTTATGTATATTAGGTTGATAAGAAAGTGATGACCCATTTAAAAAAATTTTCTGCTTTATTTTAGTACTCAGCATACAATGCAAGCTACTCAACAATATAATCACATCCAATTAGTGACAACAGTCTCCCACTTAATGGGCAGGTCAGCGATCCCCTTCTCCCAGAACTGAGGAGACTGGGAGTCGAAGAAGTCACTCACCGCCCGTTTCACATCATCAACTTTGGTGAATTGTTTCTTAGCTAGAAAAGCCTTAAGGGGACGGAACAAGTGGTAATCTGAAGGAGCTAGGTCAGGGGAATAGGGCGGGTGAGGGACAGTTTCCCAGCTCCTCCAGTTTTTCCCGGGTCTCCTTTGCTATGTGGGGGTCGGCGTTGTCTGCAGAAAGGTGGACGCCGCGGCCCGTCTTCTCCGTTTCGCGAAGAGCTTCGCGAGTTTGCCGAGTTGGCGTGCGTAGATGGGCCCGGTGACCGTCTGGCCTTGCGATAGCATCTCGTAGTACAGCATACCGCGCGCGTCCCAGAAGCAGCAAAGCAGACACTTCTGCGGGTGGAGATCGGATTTTGCTTGCGTAGGCGGCGATTCTCCTTGCGGGAGCCAGAACGCGCGGTGCTTATTGGCGTTGTATGAGGATCCCACCTCGTCCTCAGCAAGTAACCAAGTCGGCGAGAAACTCCTTGCGCTGGGGGCGGAGGAGTAGTGACTGACAGATGGCAACCCGAGTCAACCGCGCATTCTCAGTCAACTCATGAGGGATCCATCGTGCCAGCACTTTTCCTGTACCCGAGAGCGTGAAGGCGGCCGACGACTGTTGGTTGAGTACACCCAAGTCTTGTCGCAAGACTGCGGGTGCTGAGTTCCGGATCCTCCTTGACGGCGTCGAGAATGGCGAAGTCGTCGACTGTGTGGGGCGTCCGACCGATTGCATTATTCTCGAAGGCTCGTGTCTCTCTTCGAAGCGAGCGCGAACCAGCCTTGAACCGGGCTATGAGAAGTGGTGCCCATCTCCAATTGCTGTTGAATCGTTGAATGTTCTACAACTACCACTTGCTTGGTCATCGATATCGACCAAGATTCCAAAGTTCTCGAAATTTCAAAAAATTGGGTCATCTTTTTTTTATCACCCTAATACATGTGTAAACGCGAAACAAAGTATTCGGGAGTTCCGACATCAGCTAAAGGCACAGTTCACGCTCTACGGGTGGGCGGAGCTAGGGATACAGTTGTGTTCCAATAATGGCACTGTCTTCCTTTCTAAGGCCTCCTCTCGAGAAAAAGGCTGCTGAGCAAAGCACTAAGGTAAGCCTGATTGTGCCTATTCACAAGCGCGTTATTCGTCTTCAAGAAGGTCACCTAGTTGGCCGTTTTGGCCACTTGATCCTGTCACTGACCTTTGGCGTCTACACTTAGGTAATGTTGTCCAAGATTTTGTTGTGGTTCCCTTGTTTTCTTCATTTTACTGACTAGCCGGCCATATGTTTAGAATCAGAGTAGTTCGAGAGGAATTCATATAGGTAAATTCCATTGTAGATTCGTGGAATCAATGGAGCGTCTAAATGGTTCTTGGGGTCAAAACTGGGGACCAGTCGGAACAAAATTCTTCCTGAGGGATTATGCGGTCTTCCAAGAAAGTAAGTTTTTTGAAGCGATAGTTTTCACAGCGAAACATTACAGTGCGTTTCCAGCATTCTCCGATGCCGACGAGGAACTCACTGAACCAGATGAAGAACTCGAATTGCTGACCACTACACCAGCCTCCCTTGAGGTTATTCCAATTACTACCTGATCTTTTCGTATATTTGACAGATTTGACAAAATCACAGAAGAGTATCAGTCAAAGTGATATAGTCACTTTGCAAAGGTCACAAGAAACCCCCTCGAAACCGCGCTCATGTATCCAGCAGTAAACTCACTAAGCATGAGATCAGAGCTTAAAATCTTCGTCCGCTGAAAAATTTTAGTTGGATTTGGTTGAGAAATGTTGAAGGAGAGATCCCATAGATGGGTAATCGAAAAATGTTTCTACTGGGCTACTGGCCCCATTATAAGGCTGCGTTCATACTTTGCGGCAGGGTCCACCAGCGACCACCGCGGTCCACCCGCAACCATCAGCGTTTCGAGCTCCGTCATCGTCAGTGATTAGAAAAATAGAGATATCGATTTAGCGAAGTGCACCTGCAGTCTACCAGCGATAGTACAGTGTGTAGTAGTACGGTACGGTTGCAGACGTCACAATATCACGACGCCTATACCAGCTGTTTTTCCCTCCCTTTTCCCCATACTCTTCTAGCGATCTGCTACCCTCC